TCTAAAGAAATATAGCTTAAATTGGCTACATTAGGAAGCTAGTTTATATACACGATTAAATTAGTTTCACGAAACTAAATTAGAACGTGTGAAAGTAAAGAAATTTTACCTTCGGACAGCTCGATTTGATGGAATTCATTTGCATTTCATTTAATTAATTTTTATTTATACTATATTTGGAGATTCTGTCCTTATTCGTTTATTTACATTTTTATTTTATTCTAATAAAATATACTATAGTTAAATCACAAAAGCTATGTACTGTTAGTTGGCGTTTTTTCAAATGCCTGAACAAACATTTTTTTCGTCCTTATATAGAACTATTAATTTATATTAAAAATTATAACTTTTTAGTATTAAAGCTAAAGAGTTTCATTAAAAAAAAAGAATGGAGTATAAAATAAATATAAAATAAAATAAATGAATCCCAATTAATGCATTATAAAAGTAAAGACAGGTAAAACATTTCGTGAAACAAAATTTCGTGAAACTAATTTCGTGAAATTAATTTCTTAACGTAAACTGAATTTTAAAGGAAATAATATAGTAGTGACACTAGAGAAAGGTAAAGACGGGGGCACAAAATATAAATATAGAAAAATAAAAAATTTAATATTCCTTAATATTTTCATATGTAGCTTTTCTGTAGTAAAATAAAAAATTAAAAAATACGCTGTTTCTACATTGCATTTCAAGTGGCAGTGTTCATACATTAGTGATACATTTTGAAATATGATTATTGCACGCGTAGATGCCACGACAACTGTTTCCTTTAAAATGTTAATTAAATAAATATATATATTGCGAGATATATATTGGAGGAATTATGTTGCAACGAATCACTTAAAGAAACAGTAAAAAATACAATGTAGGTAAGAGAACAATACAAAAAGCCCGTATTTATTACTCGTATTCATTCCATATTTGATTTCGAATTAAGTTTTAATGGAAATTGTATTTTTTTTTTAAATTTGTATTGAATATTAATTAGAGTTTAGTCATAGTTTGTTTAAGACCAGATTCTGTCATTTGAATCATAAAATACATCAAAATTTATTAAAATACATTTCAACAATTTATCGAAACTATTGATTATCCAATTAGGAGAGTTACCGAAGATACTGTAAAGTAATAGTTAAGGATACTAAGTTTAATTATTTTATAACTGTCAACTGATTAAACTGTTAATATGTAATTATAATAATAAATTAATCTATTGTTTAAAAAGTTTAATATTGTCAAAATTGTTATATAATTAAATATAATTGTTCGAAAATGTCACAGAATCATATAAAGTAATTGAATAAAGTTCCCATTGATTGAAACGTGTAACATAGTATTCACTTTATATATTTAGTAGCATACGCTATATTCAGTTCATTTATAATAAGTAATAATTAATCGAAGATTCTAAAAGTAATTTATCATTATCTATAATTATTTATAGTGTTATGTAATCCCAGAACGCACTATATCCTACACTCACTTACAATTGTCAATTTACATTATAATTTAGGTAAATTTAAAGTTTTTTTTTTTTTAATTCGAAGATATAATGTTTACACTTAAGCGAAATTGTTTTTACATAAATCTTAACCTTTTATTAATTTAAATCAATTCCGTTGAGCAAGAATACATTACATTAGTCTTTGCCTCGTTGCCGGGCTCGTTACAGCGCGAGTCAAGGTATAGATATAAGAATAAATATCCAGATGGAATCGACACTTTCCTGGATTAATCATGACTACATTGTCGAATTGTAAATATAGCAGGCTTGTTTTTAAAAGCTGAATCAATCACGGCTCGCATGCACCGGACGTTGCGGTAGGAGCGTGCGTTTCACTCTCTCGTACACGTGTCGTGTGAGTCACGTCGTATCGTAAAACAATTTGTTAATGAGAATTAAACTGAGACAACCCTCGTAATAATTTTTGTACACACAGACAGGCTAGTCGGCCGTTTTTATATATTTATAATTTTATATTATTCTTTTTGATATATATTTTTTAAATTGAAAAGTAAAATTCTTACAAATATTTGAGAGAACAACATAATCTGTACATAATGATTCGTAATGATGCTTATCATTACTGAACATTTTGATTTATATCGGAATATAGACATAAAATATATTTTCGTTATTAAATCATTAAAAATTGTCACCATTTTAATTAATACAAGTTTATTAATTTGTAAGGACTATACGTATATATGTATATTTTTATTATAATAGAAAAACAATAGTTCCCAAATCAAACAAAAATATTAACCTAATATGGGAGATTTTTAACTCAATTACTTGTAACACTGAAATAAAAGTGCATTTTGTTTTGTAAAAAAAAAAGAAATGTCAAATATAGTTAGCCAAACGTCAAAATAGTTGACTAAACATTGGCCTGCTTTTTGACACTCAATGCTCTATCTACATGATCGAAGATTTATTGTTCTCCAGTCAGAGTGTCACTTCCACCTAGTTTATTCTTATATTCCATTTATTCTTGTGACTACGAATCACAAAATCTCCAATTAATCTCGTATTTTACAACAATTTATGACATTTTCTTTTTCAATAGCCCTTCCGTACAGGTTTCTGTATGTAATATCGCTCTATAAGGGCTATATTAGATGTAACATCAAATATATAATATATTCAAATCGAGCAATCAAAAAGATGTTTGCAGTTTTAAGTCAAATGTTTTATAGTGTGTTTATTTGAACTAATATAGATTAATTACCGGTCATTGGTAAACATTTAATAAAGGATGGATAGTTTAATTTTTCTATACTCTTAATAATCAGGCTAAAGTTTTTGGATAATTAGAATTTGTTTTGACATTTAGGTATGTACGTGTGTATTTACCTGTGGTATCAACCCCGTAATTTTTGACTCCAAAATATACATGATTGTATGATATTAGATCTTTTAACACCTACGAATAGCACAATTTGGCATTTGATTAGTAGAGATTATTTTCCGGTATAGAAGACAGGGCTTGGCTCTTTAAAAAGACGTCTTAACGTGTCTCTGCGCATTGCTGAAAGCTCTGATCGGTCTAGACAATTCTTCAAACCCCGTGCATGGTTCATCCAGCTTACCCACCTTTAATCCTCCTACCGTGTTGAGTAGGAGGATCTATCTATCGTTTTGCCTCCAATAGTTCCTTTAGAAGCCCATAATAACTTTATAAGCACACGATTATGAAATCGTGTCAATTGTAGACAAATTTAAATTCTCAATCAAAGTTCTCTTTTGAGAAACAATGCGGCTGTAGTTTATTTACTTTGTAAACTTAGTTTATATGTATTTGCAGTTAAATTAAATTATGTTCCAAGACTAAAAGAAAAATGTTAAGCACAGTATGTTACTTATATAGTGTGAAGTATCTGGCTAAAAATTTTATTGTTTTTATAATAAATTTGACATAATCGCATTAGCAAGTAATAATGCCGTTCTATAGGTATTTGCCCGGCTGTCATCATCACCCTAGTTCGGGCTCTGACACGTGACCACTTTCTGTCCCTTACTCGCGCTGACCTATCCCTCTCTGTGTCTTAAATATAAATCGTTCAAAAAAAGAACACACCACATTCGGTATTACACACACATTTGCAAATGTGTACAACAATATCCAACTTGTATGCATAAGGAATGAACGTAGATTCTCACGCTTGGTCTAAACTCCTCAAAATTTTATTGAATGATTAATTTTTAATTCTAATTCTCAGTATTTCAGTTCTACGTACCTGCACGTGTTCAGGTTGAGTTGATGAAATAAGAAAGATTGGTATATCATTAAATATATTACCTTTTGAGAACATGTATGTATACATAACAATACAATAATATTTCCATGAATTAATTAGTAACATTTAAGTTTGAACAAGTTACACTGAAACAACTATTATCAACTTTTATCTTTTTTGTTTTTATGTCTTTTTGTTTTTATGTGTTTTTATTTTCATGTGTTTTTATTTTTTGTGCTGTGATGGGTTTATGAGTTGTTATAACATCAATGATAATGAAATGAAATGTTTTATCCAAAAAGTAACATTCAATTACATGTTATTAATATTATTTTAAAGAAACATCTTTGTTTTTTCTTTATTTATTTAATATAAAAAACGTGTTTTAGTTTTAATAAAGAAATTTTGTTTTATATTCTACACATTTAGCATTGTAAACGGATATTTGGTTGGGAACTGAAGAAATTAAATATTTAAATTTTCTAATATATGGACACAGTTATGTATTGAAACATGTATTAAATCGTAAATATGCCATATAAATTATTATATACTTATCTAGTATTTAATTCGAACACTACGATCTTTTTTTTTTTAACTTTTTATTTTTAACCGGTATGAATAAATTTTGTAATGGGAATGGGAACATATAATTTCCATCTTAAGCATCGAAGGAGATTCTATAACACGGAAAACATTTGTAAACATTTTAGCATTAAAAATTTTTATGTTGGTGATTGATCATGAATCGTAAATCGTATTGTATCCATTTAACATTAGACGAACAATTGATTGAACATTTATTGTAATATCTGCTTATTTGTGTATTGACTAATTCATACTACGTATGATTAATAATACTGTTTAACAACAAAGAGATTTGACAGCTAGTAGAATGAACAGCTCTGTTCAATAATAACATTTAAGATCCCACAATTAGACCATATTAACTCTACGATGTTTAAAGATAGAATAAATATACGAGATATATTTTTGTAACGCCCCCCCCTCCCCTCCCATCCCTCCCCATCCCCAATAAGATTAATAGTACATATATACGTAAATGCATATGTACAAATTAATGACTTTCGACTGCGTGCCTCTAATGTAAATATATGTTTTTATGTATTCAGTGTTAGGTAAATATAGTCTGCCACGTATATATATATATATATATATATATATATATATATATATATATATATATATATATATATATATATATATATATATATTGCTATTATTAATATCTTAGTACTATTAATTCGTCTACTTTGATTGTTGTAAGCTTTGCTAAGGTACCGTGTGAAGGTACTGTTTGAAAGGCATCTACATTTGTTTACAATATGATAATAGAATTTTTGCTACATTTAATTGGATAAATTGATAATTTTGTTGCTGGTGTAGAATATACTTTGTTACAAGCGAATAGAAGCGATATTTTTTTGTTAACAGGACCGCAAGAGCAGTATATAAAAATATATATTGGATAATTCATTCCTCGGCAAATGAGACAGTGGATACTCTGGATCATTCCTTGGTGGATGGCGGTCCGGCGGTAGATGGATCGTGGAAGTGTGCGCGTACCTGCAATCACAGTTTATATATATATATATATATATATATATATATATATATATATATATATATATATATATATATATATATATATTCTTTATTGTACTTGTAAATTACATTGTTAATGTATTTATAAATATTTATTTGAATTTTAGTATGTTTGTTTAAAAACTACTGTACCAAATTGGATATGATTCAGAAAGGTCTGTTTTGTACTCAGCGGATCTACCATGAAATGAAATTCCGAAATTTCGGATTCGATTTCGTGTTTTTGTTTATACCAAAATCGGACCAATAAATGGAGTTTACATTTTTACATTTCGTTCGTCATATATCATATCATAAAAGTCTAAAGGAACAATATTTTAACATTTTTAATATTTCCAAACTGTGTAATATGTCATTTTAACATCAAATTTGTGTTTCGGTTGACTCCAAAATTTCGGAAATTTCATGGTAGGCCTTCTGATATATATCTTATAGGTCATGAAGATATGATTATCTACTTTTTAGCAACATCAGGAAGTAATGTAATAGGAATAAAATGCCCGACAAAAGCTGTTTCAATATATTTAAGTATATATAAGTAAATAACTCTACTCAAGATTTATTTGGGGGAAAGGGATTGTTAGTAATGGAGACAAAAAATCCCATTGCTAGTAATATACCCAACCAGGTCGACCTTCTCGTGGCTCCCCCTGGAAACTATCATGGTTAATTCCTGATGAATTCATCATGATGGGCTAACTGGCCTGTTTTCATTCTCATCGATCACCCTTCACTGGTGCTCCGCCAGCGTATCCCGTTAGCGCAGGCGGGGTTACCATTCCTTTTTCATCCAACAAAAAAGCTCAAAATTTATTTTTGTGTGTTTATAATTTGACTTGTTTTGTTGAGTCAGCAGTAATAGGCAGGGAAAAGGGATTTGGACTAGAATACAGATTTCTAAAGTGATAAATGAAAGATTTCTAAACAGTCACCAGAGTTCGGTGAAATTATTATATTTGACTGTATATTAATACTACAATTAAGGAGATTTATTATTTTGAAATAGCACAAAATATGTGTTGATAACAACTCTTCAAAAAGGAGGTAAAGAGGTTTCTTCAGGGTCGGCAACGCGCGCGTGATACCTCTGGTATTGCAGGTGTTCATAGGCTACGCTAACCGCTTACCATCAGATGGGCCGTATGCTTGTTTGCCACCTCAGTGGTAAAAAAAAAAATACTGTTATTGTATATTGTATAAAGAAAGTTAAAGTTGAGAACAAAGTATTTCACTTTTAAAATATTTTTTAATATAATTATAGTTTCTATGGTTGGTTGATAAAATAAAATTAAAGTTTGGGAGCCTATGAACTAGAGGTAGCGTAAAAGATGATGAAGTGTATTACCAGAGGGAAACTTTGTACAAAAGTTGATTGCTTGGGTACCTCTATTCCATTCGTGTTTCTACTGCGAAGCAGTTATTTGCATGGCTGTGTTTCGGTTTGAAGGGTGGGATATGGCGTGAATTTACTGGGTACAGAGGAATAACACCTGAGTCCTCAGGAATGGCAATGCATAGGCGACGGTTACCACTTTCCATCAGGTGGGTCGAAAAAAATTTAAATAACATGTATAAGTAAATTCGAGATCGTTAATAGAAAAAGAAAATTAGTATGGTACCAATATCATATTTAAATGCTATCGAAGAAATGAATGATAAAATCGATTCAGATTACGCAATCTAACTAACGCAATCTAAATCAGATAAAGCAAATTAACTACTTGGTCCATTTCTAACGGTTCCTGTTTTGAATTTGGGGGGTATTATGGGCGAAACCGTGTACTTTGTTATGTCCATGGCACTGCTCATGTCTATAGGCGACGGTTACCACTTTCCATCAGGTGGGCCATCAGCTTGTTTGCCATTCTAAGTTGTATAAAAAAAAAAATGTGTGGACTGCCCTACTTATAGACAGTTGAATATAATAAAAAGACAGACAACTAGAAGTGAATGGATAGGGAAAGAGGATGGTGGATGGCATTCAGGAAGATATCGAGCAGTAGCAACAGCTTTATGATGCTTAGATTGTAATGTTGTAATTTCCAAGATACACCCCATACGTTGCCATTTCTGAGAACTCTGACAACATTTCGGGCACCATTTACAATACCTAGAACGGGGACAACTTAAAAAAGTTCCTTCTTAAATCGACCCGACCGGGAATCGAACCCGGGATCTTATTTACGCAAACGTGCTTTCTATTGTACCATGGAAGTGAAGGAAGGTGAGGATTTACTTGTAAATGCGCTGCCAAGTCCATCACAATATGTACAAGAGCAGGATGCTCCAGAAGGTCATCGGGCAGCGGTGGAGCGGCACGTGTCAGATGCGTGCGCGCACGGAACGCTCGATGCATGCGCAGTGTCACCTCACAGAAGATGAATCTTAGGAGCAGCAGTCGAAGGAAGTCATCACCCATGAATGCGATGTACATTATATCTGTAATAGGATACAATGATAAAAAGCATTTGTTTAGAAAAAATCATATTTTAAATTCAACTGTAGTCTAAGAGTATTTAAGCTATTCTTAATATAATCCCACAGGTGAGAAGAGATTAGTATTTGCAAATAGCAAGCCTATTGCTAGCAATAGGGTATATTTTCATATTTACCACCATACGGTTTCCCCTGAAAACCATCGTGACTAATTAATAGTGAATACGTCACGTCGACCCAACTGACCTGATCTCTTCCTTACCTATCGTCTCCCAGTGATATTCCATTATAGTACTTAAAAAAAGTTATATTGAAGCTAGTTCTTTGGCTCTAACAGAGTAATGACTTAAATTTTCTCTTAAGGAGAGAACCCTTGTTCTTCTTTTGTTTCTCTAATTTTCGTCTAGTCTAAATTTCGTCATCATCATCATATCAGTTGTTAACTATCCACTGCTGAACGTAAGCCTCCCCCTAGGGGGTTTGCCAGTAGTAGCCACGCTTGGCAAGCGGTTTAGCAACCGTAGTTAGGCTTTGGAAATCTTTTAAGAGTGACATTGCTACCCATGCTTCGACTTTTATATTTCCCTAGTCGTCTCTTACGATTTCCACGGGTAAGGAAGGCGTGGCTCATTCTATTCCGGGACCACCCAAACTTATTAAGAGTCTTAAACTTACTAACAGACAAGTAAAAGTATTTTTAGTTAGTCAACCATATTTGTGTGAAGGTGTTTCTTTAGTTTTTTTTTTACAACACAGGGGGCAAACGAGCATGCGGCTCACCTGATGGTAAGTGACTACCGCCGCCCATGGTCACCCACAACACCTACGGCATTGCAGGTGTGCTGCCGGCCTTTTAGTTCCTTTAGTATTTGGCTTCTGGTTCTGTGCTACTTCTCTTGTTTTATGTCAATGTATGTATATATATGGTTTTTGTATTGAAAATTTTACCAGAGGGAGACTTTGTACAAAAGTCGTTTGCTTGGGTACCTCTGTCGCATTCATGTTTCTACCGTGAAATAGTTGTATTTACATGGCTGTGTTTCGGTTTAAAGGATGGGATATGGCGTGATTTTACAGGATACAGAGGAATAACACCTGAGTCCTCAGGAATGGCAACGCATGGGCGAAACAGTATACTCAGTTATGTCCATGGTACTGCTCATGTCTATAGGCGACGGTTACCACTTTCCATTAGGTGGGCCGTCAGCTTGTTTGCCATTCTAAGTTGTATAAAAAAATCTATTTTTACAGCTTTGGTAAGATACTTTTTTATTAGAACAGGATCTAATCATGATAATGCATATTGGTTTATGTTAATATAATTTAAAGGATCAGACCAGATCGATTGTACTTTGTACAAAAGCCGTTTGCTTCACCTCTGTCACACACGTGTTTCTACTGTGAAGCAGTTATGCTTGCATTGTCGTTTCGATATTCCAGTGAAATTACGTAGGCATAATAGTACGTTATAATTACAGTGTATTCTGTGATATCAATGGTTCTATTCACGTCTATAGGCGATTGTTGCATTCCATTAGGGCCCACCTAAGCTTGGTAAGGTCAGCTTGTTTGCTATTCTGTCTTAAGAAAGGCTTTTTGGATATAATTATTAGCCAACGTTCATTAATATATATAATTCAATAATTTTGTATTTAGGTTTATATATATAATGATTTATAATTTATGTAAATATTTATTTTATATTTTTTATATTTCTGTCTTGCACTACTACTGCCCACTCACTACTTCCTATGCCACTGTGTTAGGTTGACTGGAAGAAATCTCTTTTAGAGATAAGTTCGCCTTTGCTAACATTGTTATTAACTTATTGTTGTTACTGTTTGTTTTAGTGCAATAAAGAATATATATATAAGAATATATATATAGCATCAAATTAAGAAAAAATTCTAAATCAACTGTACGTAACTAAATATATGAGATAAAAAGTTAATACCTATTCGGCTCCTAGTTACTAGTTGCGATGCTTCAGCCATGAACGTGTCTATGTAGATCTGTGCACGATCCCAGTGCACCAGCGATAGGTTGTGGATGTCACAGCAGTAACTGAACGCTGTGAGTGGCGAGTGCAGGAACAGGGTGAACAAGCTGCCCTGTTGTCTGCGGTCTGTAATACATATTGAAATAAACCAAATAAAAAATATTAGCAAACATTTATCATATTACAGTTATTTGTGAGAAAGAGGTATTTGTGAGAATGGACCCATTGCTAACAATACACCCTATCAGGTCGACCTCCACGTGGTTCCCCCTGGAAAGCATCGTGAACAATTGTTGTTGAATTCGTCAAGATAGGCTAACAGACCTGCTTCATCCTCACCCTCACTGGTGCCCCGCCGGTGTATACCGATAGCGCGGGCGGGGTTACCATTCCGTTATCAACCATTAAAAAAAATGCATCGCCATTATAAAAAACGGTGAATTTTTTTTTTTTTTAAATAAAAACTAGCTGTATCCCGTAGCTCCGCTCGCGTGTATCAATATATAAAATATCCTATGTGCTCAATTAAAATATAACCTACTCATGTAACAATAATTTAAATACGTTAAATAGTTTATGCATGAGAGAGTAATAGACATCCATTTATCCATGTATCCATCTATCTTTTATGGGAATGGGCATTAAATATTATAATAAGATACCGAAGGATATTTAGGATATGCCTTTTAATAAGTTTAAAACTGTTATTAAAAAAGCACTTGTTGAACAAACTAAACGATTACTTGAATGACAAATGTGCATGGTGTTAGTCGATCATGCGCGGGCTTTTAACGACCATTTTATTTAAGACATAGTACATCTAAATAAATACACATAATGTTAACAGAGAGAAGTGTGGACTGAATGACGATGTAGTGACAAAAATCGAAAAAGGAATGTTGCGTTAGTTTAGTCATTTGGAGAGGATGGATGAAAGAAGAATTACGAAAGAGATTTATCGAGCAAGAATGAATGGAGATGTCGGTAGGGGCCGCCCTAGACGGACGTATGTTGACCAAATAGGCGACGTGCTGAAGAAGGGCCAATTTAAAAGTACCCGTAACCGGCGAGCGTGTATGAAAAGATCGATGAATGTGGAAGAAGCGAAAGAGGTTTGTTTGAATCGAAGCATCCCTCGCCCTCCCTTAGTCGGCTCTTACGACACCTATGAAAAAGGAAGGGGTGACCCATTCTATGCCGGGACCACACAACAAACGTGGGTAATAATAGTAAATAAATAGATTTATTTCATATATTGATATTATTTTTTTTCATCTCTTTAAACAACTAAGTTCTTTTTCTTTTAGACGAGAGGAGAATAAAAAGATAACGTCAGATCTCTATTAACACCCATCTCCTTCCTCTTACCTTTACCCATATACCTACACACTACAACTACTTTCGTAATGCAAAAACAAACAAAAAAAAAAAAACAAAAAATCCAGCTTTTATAGTTGCAGAAGAACATCACTACAGTATGCGAAAAAATTAAATTTCGAACCGGACCTCTCCCCCCATTCATAGTTACACGTAATTAACGGACGTCCACTGATATATTCCTTTTCAAGGCTAATACAATTTACTGGTACGCCGGCTCTGCCTTTGATAGCATTATCAACTTCCTATCAAGTCAGATTGAGGTCAAAGTCAATAAGTCACCTTCAGTCATAATAACACTTGTGCGATTTGGTCGTGACATTCAAATACGTGATGCCCTTTTGCAATTGCAGTCAAACTTCAGTAGCTAAAAGTTTTGTGAGAATGCGTCGTGGTGCACTACGGCACAAGGAGGGACGGCGGAGGCGGCTAGGGGAGAGAAACTAGTTGCGAGCGCCGCCAGTTACTAATAAGCTAGTTGATGTTTCCGCAACTTTATACCTTTGACTATAGCTCCTTTCATTTTCGGATTAAATATTTCTACGTTTATAGTTACAGTATTATGTTTGTTGAAGTAAATTTTAAACTATTACATTAATATGAAATTGTGTTATACTGGATTTTTTTGAGACAAAAATCGAAAAAGGAATGTTGCATTGGTTTGGTCATTTGGAAAGGATGGATGAAAGAAGAATTACGAAAGAGATTTATCGAGCAAGAATGAATGGATATGTCGGTAGGGGCCACCTTAAATGGACGTATGTTGACCAAATAGACGACGTGCTGAAGAAGGGCCAAATTAAAAGTACCCGTAACCGGCGTGCGTGTATGAAAAGATTGATAAATGTGGAAGAAGCGAAAGAGGTTTGTTTGAATCGAAGCATTTGGCGTTCCATTGTTTCTGCCTACCCTAATGGGAGACAGGCGTGACAGATATGTATGTATGTATGGATTTTTTTTTTACTGTCTTTAAAATTAAACTAATCTTTTATTGCTGTTTGGTCCCAGTATAGACGGGCTAGCCCTCGTTTCCCGTGGGTGTCGTAAGAGGCAACTAAAGGAATTTATTGTATTGTATTGTAAAATCTTTATTATACAGAATTTATATGGAATACATCAAAAGATTAAAACATACAATGGCGGACTTATCCCATAAAGGGATCTCTTACAGTCAACCTTTTAAGAAGCTGAAAGAAAACTGTAAAGTGTACAAGAGTAATAACCGTACAACTATTTTTTAATTTAATGTTCGAGAGATGAGTAGCAGTGCCCCTCTTAAAACGTCACCAAAGATTTATTGTAATTGCCAACCGTCTGCCAAGTGTGGCAACTACTGGCAAACCCTCGCTTATGGAGGAGACCTGTGTTCAGCAATATACAGTTAATGGTTTTTTTTTGATGGGTGAAAATGGTATGGTAGCCCCGCCTGCGCTAACGGTATACGCTGGCAGAGCACCAGTGAAGGGTGATAGATGAGAATGAAAACAGGCCAGTTAGCCCATCATGATGAATTCATCAGGAATTAACTATGATAGTTTCCAGGGAGAACCGCGTTGTGGTCGACCTGGTTGGGTATATTGCTAGCAATGGGATTCTCAGTCTCCATTACTAACAATCCCTTTCCCCCTACAGTTAATAGTTGGTATGACCATGAAGATGATTATTTCAGTGTTGTCTGGTCATAAAATGGACCGCCCTTTTTTTCTCATACCCAGCAACTAAGGGAATTTATTTGTCGAGGGATAAGCAGAAATACCCCTGTTAAAATATCACCAAAGCCTAAGCACGGTTGCCAACTTGCCTGCCAAGCGTGGCAACTACTGGCAAGACCCCTTTATGGGGGAAGCCTATGTTCAGCAGTGGATGACAGACAGACAGTTAATGACTGATGTGACAATGATGTAATTATCGCCGTGTAGTCTTGGCATAGAATGGACGGGCCCCTTTCATTCCTGTGGGTGTCGTAAGAGTCTTAAAGGAAGGCGAGGGATGGGCAGCAGCGTCCCTCTTAAAACATCTCTAAAGCCTAACTGCGGTTGTACACCCACCTGCAAAACGTGGCAACTACTAGCAAAACCGCCTAAGGGGAAGGCTTATGTTCAGCAGTGGACAGTTAAAGGCTGAGATGATGATGAAGATCTATCTATCTATGTTTAATCATCATAAGCTATCCAGAAGTATTGTATCGAAATCCTGTTGTCCTGTGCGAAAGCTTGCCTGCAAATTCCTTTTTAAAAAGAAAAGAGCATATTCCTTTTTTAAAAGGCCAGCAGTACACCTGTAATGCCGTTGGTGTGAGGGGAAAAGGATTGTTAGCAATGGAGTTTGACAGTCCCATTGCTAGCAATATCAGGTCGACCTCCAAGTGGTTCCCCTTGGAAACGATCGTGAACAATTCTTGTTGAATTCGTCACGATGGGCTAACTGACCTGCTTCACCTTCATCTATCATCCTTCACTGGTGCCTCGCCGGTGTATATCAATAGCGCGGGTGGGGTTACTATTTCCTTTATCACCATTATGGTGATCATGGGCGGCGGTAGTCACTTACCATCAGGTGAGACGCATGCTCGTTTGCCCCCTATGTTGTAAAAAAAATATTGGCCGTAACAAGAGGTCTGTTGAATGTGTGTAACTTGTAATATCGCTACAATCCGAGAAGCAGTCACCTGTCTACGTCGTAGACGTACATAAAGTAACTAAATATAAACAATTTTCCACAGCTTTGAATTCGAATTCAAGTAAGCCTATTGCCGGTATGGCGGCCGTCTCGACCGTACTATTTCAGTTCTTTTAATTTTTATTTCGTTACCTGTTAAGAAAAAAGTTGGTCAAGTGCGAGTCGGACTCGCGCAGCGATGGTTTCGTACATTTCCAAAGAACGAAAAAACGGAGCCCTTATAGGATCACTTCGTTGTCCGTTCGTCTGTCAAGACCCTATTTCTTAGGAACGCGTGAAGGTATCAGAATCAGGTAGTTGAAATTTATATCATATACTCAGGTTCGCAATCTCTTAAAACAGTGAAAAAATCAAGCTTCTAAATCGACACATTCAAAAGATACGGCACTTTTTGTTCCATTTATATAGCATATTTTGATATTCGCAAAGGGAATTAAAACCTATAGGGTACTTTCCGTTGATCTAGGATCAGGAAATTTGCAAGAAGCAATGTCATGTAGCACAAGTAAAGGGAAAAATCCGAAAACCGTAAATTCGTAGTTGTCACAAAAAAAGTATAAACTTGATTATTTTGCACGGAACCCTCTTTGTGCGAGTCCGACTCGACCGGATTTTTTTAAATGTTATTATTTAATTACATGCAGTCTAAGTGTTGTGGATAATTGGAATAAATTTTTATTCATTCATTCACTCATATCATCAGTGAGTCCATGAGATGGAACAAGAAATCAGACATCGCTATCTCATTCTATCACATGGATGTCCTAGCGATAACGAGTCTATCGCTAAATTCGTTTGCCATCCGTCTAGAGGGCTTCCGCAGGCGAGACACATTTCGTCCACCCCCCCCCCCGTGTTCCGTTGTGCTTACAACTTGAGTCCAACGTGAGATAATCCCTCATGAAAATTGTAATCCGGTCGTAGAAAACAAACCGCCAAAACTGCATGCAATAATGCACACGTGTTGCATTTACAGTACACGACTTAAATGGAGGGAAACTTCGGCGAACAGTTACGTCCAACTACAGATTATTGTTTGTGTTGGCACTTCTTAATGGAACATTAAATTACATTAATATTAAACACAATAATAGACATATATAAATGTCATTTATATTTTTACATAATTAATATTGAAGTATTTTAACAGAAGGAGACTTTGTACAAAAGTCGTTTGTTTGGAAATCTCTGTCCCATTCGTGTTTCTACCGTGAAGCAATTGTGTTTCGCTTTGAAGGGTGAGATATGGCAGTTAAATTTACAAGGTACAGAGGAATAACACGTGAGTCCTCAGGAATGGCAACGCATGGGGTATCATAGCTGAAACAATATACTCTGTTATGTCCATAGTACTGCTCATGTCTACAGGCGACGGTTACCACTTTCCATCAGGTGGGCCGTCAGCTTGTTTGCTGTTCTAAGTTGCATAAAAAAAAGAAATAAAACTATTATTTCCTGCTTTATATTTTATAATTTTGTATTGTAACAAAGGTAATGTTGTTTTTTCATTAACTTGTGATGGTTTTGTTTAATATGTGACTCTGTGCATTTATGGTTTATAGAAGTAAATAAATGTTTTTTTTTTTTTATGGAGGATTTAAAGGATGGTATACACTGGCGGGGCACCAGTGAGGGATAATAGATGAGGATGAAGCAGGTCAGTTAGCCCATCATGACAAGTTCACTAATGAATCAATCACGATGGTTTCCAGGGGAAACCGCGTGGAGGTCGACCTGATCAATGTAGGGTACATTGCTAGTAATAGGATTGCTAATCCCCATTACCAACAATCCCTTTTCCCCAGTAACTAAATGTTGTGTGCATGCGCATGTGCATACGTAATAAAAACGTCATAGTAAAGACACGGGAACAAAGTATAAATTCATTGTTTGTGCAGGGGTAAATGCACTTACTAAACTTAGACTATATAGATAGACTGTTTCCATACAATTACTTCCTTAAATACAGTTCAACTTTTTATTCCTGTTGCGTGTATAATGACTATAAGCATTATCATGTCAGCCTTTAACTGTCCACTGCTGAACCTACGCCTCCACCTCAGGAGGTTTTGCCAGTAGCTGCCACGCTTGCCAGGCGAATTGGCAACCGCAATTAGGCTTTAGAGATGTTTTAAGAGGGACGCTGCTGCCCATTCTTCGTCTTCTCTTAATCGGCTTTTACGACACCCCTAGGAAAGGAAGGAAGCACGGGGAAGGAAATGCTACCATAATGCACATTTACTACACAGTATATGGGCGAAATTATATTGTAAGGTTAAATAAAAAAAAAAAACAAATTTCGTAGAATACGGCCATCGTTTAAATTAATGGATGTATATTAATTTCCAACCAATACTAAGACGTGTATTTATATAAAAACAGAAGAAATAGTTACCAATTCAAACAAAGAAAAAACTTGGTCTGGGACATTTTTATTCTAATTACTTGCAACACCGAAAAAATGGCACGATTTGTTTTGATTAAAAAAAATAATGTCAAACCGAGTCAGCTAAATGTCAATTAAGTTGACACGTTTTTGACACTCGATGTTCTGTGTGAAAAGGAATGTTGCGTTGGTTTGGCCATTTGGAGAGGATGGATGAAAGAAGAATTACGAATGAGATTTATCGAGCAAGACTGAATGGAGATGTTGGTAGGGGCTGCCCTAGATGGACGTATGTCGACCAAATAGGCGACGTGCTGAAGAAGGGCCAAATTTAAAGTACCCGTAACCGGCGAGCGTGTATGAAAAGATTGATGAATGTGGAAGAAGCGAAAGAGGTTTGTTTCAATCGAAGCATTTGGCGTTCCATTGTTTCTGCCTATCCTAATGGGAGACAGACCTGACCGATATGTATGCATGTTCTGTGTTACCTAAGGTACTACATATGTGGTAAACAAGTGTATTATCCACCAGTCAATAACGCAATGCAAAGACGACTCCTGTGATGAATAGCTATACTCATATATGAACGACGCCCACTAACTGACGAGTTCAAGTGATGACGCAAACGAATATGTAAATACGAATCTAAATAACACTAATCGTTTTCCAACTAGGCCACTCACTTCACTAACTCACACTACACTTATCTTATGTAAATACGGAAATAGGGCAAGTATTCCCAGCAGAATATATATCGTCATATACACTGTAATTTCTAAATAATTCTGTTGTCCTAGTAGCCCTTCGTCGGGGGAAAGGGATTGTTAGTAATGGGGAGATTAGATCCCATTGCTGTCAATATACCCTATCAGGTCATCCTCCACACAGTTACCAGAGGGAGACTTTGTACAAAAGTCGATTGCTTGGGTACCTCTGTCCCATTCGTGTTTCAACCGTGAAGCAGTTGTGTTTGCATGGCTGTGTTTCGGTTTGAAGGGTGGGATATGGCGTGAATTTACTGGGTACAGAGGAATAACACCTGAGTCCTCAGGAATGGCAACGCATGGGGGTATCATGGGCGAAACAGTATACTCTGTTATGTCCATGGTACTGCTCATGTCTATAGGCGACGGTTACCACTTTCCATCAGGTGGGCCGTCAGCTTGTTTGCCATTCTAAGTTCTATAAAAAAAAAAAAAAAAAAAAAAAAAAAAAAAAAGTTTCCCTTGGAAACCATCGTGATTAATTTATTGTTGAATTCGTCACGATGGGCTAACTGACTTACTTTTTTATCTGCTGTGTTTCAGTTTGAAGGGTGCGATATGGCGTGAATTTACAGGGTACAGAGGACTAACACCTAAGTCCCCAGGAAAGGCAACACATGGGGGGTATCATGGGAGAAACAAACTCTGTTATGCTCATGGTACTGCTCATGTCTATAGATGACGGTTACCACTTCCCATCAGGTGGGCCGTCAGCTTGTTTGCCATTCTAAGTTGTATAAAAAAAAATCCTCACCTATCATCCCTCACTGGTGCCCCGTCAGTGTATACCGATAGCGTAGGCGGGGTTATCATTCCATTATCATTCATTAAAAAAAGTAGCCCTTCGTCACGCCCTCAGTGTTGCCAGATCGAATATTTTGTTCATAAAAATTTGTGTATAGTAGAATTTTCAACAGACTTCAAAACGTAGGAATTCTAAATTCGATTGTATTTTTTTGTGTTTACCTCATGACTACGTCCGTTATGAGCAGATTTGGAAACCCTTTTTCTTTATCTAAAACGATATTAGTCCCATAAACATTTTGTCAAAATTAAATAAGTAGTTTTGTTATTAAATTAAAATAACTGGTTTTACTAGAATTGAAGTCGATTTTTAATGAAACACAAACTTAAATTATATTGAATTATAATATAGTTTTAGTGGAGAATTAAAAAAATATATTGGCAACACTATTGGTATCAAAAAGCGGGGAGGGGACACCGAGTCACATCAGCGTATTAAACTCCAAAAAGAGAACACTCAGTCGTGAAATGTAGTTTATAATTTATAATTGTTTATGAAGATATCCGACGTTAATTAAACTTGACTGCCTTGGAAGGTGGGCAATATCCCTGCGGTATCGAGAGTCAATCCTTGAGTTCTCGTGTTAGCGACTTCAGGGTCCACAATTTTATTGCAAATGTGAAAACTATAGAAATATTTGTATTATATTATAAAGGATCCGAAATTGGGTGACGAAATTTCAGATTGAGGAGAAATAAATAAATAATATAAATAAATAAATTCTCTGTACAGAGCTCATGATGCGCAAATCAGGCTTGCCCTTAACGATTTACCAGAAGATCGTTATGTAGTTACGATCGAGCGAGGAAATAAAAAAAAATCCCAAGGGCGAGTAGTTAGAAGGGAATGGACGGCAAGGGACAATATTTTAAACAATAATACTATCACTTATTTAGTTGTAATCGATATATTGCCAGATATAATGATTGATTTTAATATTTGCAAGATTTTTGCCCTTCAAAGAATATAGTCGTGAATATATTTATTATGTACTGCGCGGAGCAAAACCATGCTTTTTTACAACCATGTTTTTTTGTGATATCCACACGTAAACATATTATTCTGCATTCTAAATATCAATATAATATGTCTTTGATATAGTGTAACATAATATATGTATAATTATTATATATATTAGAAATATATATAATTTCTTCATGTAGGTACATATGACCGACATAACACCTGAAGGCGTTTCAACCATGGGGCAAACAGAGATGGTTGGTGGCGGCACTTTCAAATTAAAGGTATTCTATATAAAACGTAAGAACTAATATAAAATGTATTTAACTAATTTATTAATATTTATAAATTAATAAATACAGATAAATTGATATAATTAGAAATAACTTTACATGAATATGTACAGCATTGTTTTTATACTTAAATACATAAAGTAGATGATGAAGAAGTTGTCAATAGTACAAGCAGTAGAAGAAAGAAGAGTACTAATGGAGAATAAGTAGAGAATTAGATTCAGCAAGAGTTGAGATAAAGGGTACGTAGGTTTTGTTATAAAGCTAATTTATTTGTGACAGTTTTAATATCATTGGGCAGAGCATATCTATCTATTGTGCATGGATAGATCGAGCCTCAGGCTCAGTTGTAAAGTCACTAAGTCACTTGAGGGTTAGGTAGAGAGAAGACACCAAAATCGAATGTCCTTACATACATATCTAGCTTCATCCATTTTAATAATCAGTCTTATAAACTCCAGTTCCAAAAATCTTGGACTCTTTCCTTACATACTAAGACGAATATTTCTTTAAAAAAATTACCAAAAGAACTTACCATGGAAGGGTGACGGCAACTCCAATGGAGACATCAGAATGACGAGGGGCTGCCCAAAATGCCTCGGGATGTGTTGGAAGACGTAAGAGTTGTCAGAATCGATGATGATGAAAAGCGGTCTCCTGGTGAAGGGGTACAGATCGCCTGGGTGGAGGCATTGAAGCTCCTTGTACTTCGACGACGGTGGGGTCTTCGAATCTTTGTTGCATTCTCTGTAGATGTCGTGTTTGGATGTGGTGATCAAACCACCAATATCGTAGCCGACTGTGGAATATAAATTATTGTTAAAATGCATCCTTTTTAACTTAACATATGAGGGTACAAATACCTGTAGATACAAGATTAAGTGTACAATCCTTGAACAAGATCAACCCATATTCTCTTCATCAACATTTCAGCCATTATCTGTCCACTGCCAGACATAGGACTCCCCCATAGACTGCCATAAGGAATGGTCTTGAGCCACCTGCATCCACCAACTCCCTGCAATGCATTTGAGGTCGTCACTCTATCTAGTGGGGGATCGTTCTACAATGCTCGTATGAGTTCGTCACTCAAGAACCTTTCTTCCCCATCGGTTGTTGGTTCTTCGAATTATGCGACCATAGCCACTTCATCTTGCTTATCCTTATATAAACCATATTATAGATAAAGCTAATTCATCGCTTGACCTCGGCTATCCCTTTAGCGTCTCTTATGAAGATTGCAAAATTTTAGTTTGGAGTAAAGTTATAGATTCTTTCATATTTCAATAATACGACATAAGTTAGGAGAGAAAGAGATTGTTAGTAATGGAGACTGAGAATTTCATTGCTAGCAATATACCCAACCAGGTCAACCTCCTCGCGGTTCCCCCTGGAAACTATCATGGTTAATTCCTGATGAATTCATCATGATGGACTAACTGGCCTCTTTTCATTCTCATCTGTCATCCTTCACTGGTGCTCCGCCAGCGTATCCTGTTAGTGCAGGCGGGGTTACCATACCATTTTCACCCATCAAAAAAAAAATACGGCATAAGTAGGAGTTGCTGTACTTACGTATGTAGTTAAATATCATCTTTTTTTATGCAATTTAGAATTTGAGCCTTCGCCTATAGACATGAACAGTACCATAGGCATAACAGAGTATACTGTGTCGTCCATGATGCGTTGCCATTACTGTAAATTAAAGTGTTATGCCTCTGTACCCGATAATTCACGTCATATCCCTTCAAACCGAAACACAGGCATGCAAACACAACTGCTTCACGGTAGAAACACGAATAGGACAGAGGTGGCCAAGCAAACGACTTTTGTACAGTCTCGTTCTGGTCTTAATATATCTATTTAAGTCGACCTCCTACAAATACATTCGAATGCAATGTATAAATTTATATTACATAAAATAATTGAGGACACAAAAAAAAACCGACTTCAAAATCAATTATTTTGATTTAAAAACTAAACCAATGAACCGACTTTGACAAAATTTTTACTGGACCAAACTGTAAGTATATCCTTTCAAATGATTTCAACTAATTTTTAGAAGAAACTGAAAATCGACAGAGTTATGTGATAACAAACATAAAAAAAAATAAAAAAGAAATAATACACTCCTCGCAAAAATTAAGGGAACATAAAAATTTTTGAAATTTTTGGGTGATTTTCAACAGGCTGTATTTCAGTGAAAAATAATCGTACAGGAAATTTAAAAAAAAGGGTTTTGAAGCTTGAAAACTCTAGTTTTCAGATTTTTTGGTGAAAAAATTTTTTGAGCTCCGGTTTCCATGCAATTCTTAAACAAAGCTGAAAATATTTTTTTTCAAAATTTTCTAGGTTTCGTTTTTCACTCTATGGGCATGGAAAAATTTTTTCGAGCTACTCCATTATATAGGTCTCTTAGCGTGTTTATTCAGCTTCAAAAATCGCTTTGGATGGCTCAATTACGACCATTTGTCTCCGAGATATCGAACTTTGAATGCAAAAGCATCCTTTTCCATTCAACTGCTAATATCTCTGGAACTACTGGTCGCACAGCAAGCGGGCGCCGAGTTTCTTTATCTGCATAAAATTTCCAATTAAGCACAGTCAAGAGTTAGTGAAGAAAAAATTTTTTTCCACCTCTAACATTGAATTGAAAAAAGTGGAAAAAAGTGGCTTTTCTCCTTTTTTGGTTACTTGGCTGTATCTTCGCTAATATGGGCGGGAAAGCTAAGGTTTGAGGAAAATTTTACAGTCTATTGTTCCTTAAAGAACCCCCTAAATCCCTGGAGCGATCGGTTCAACGGTTTTTCCCGGACCAATTGATTGAAATTTTGGAAAAAATAAGGGAACAAGGTTTTTGTCCCTTAAACTCACCCTAATCCATTAAAAAATCAATAATTTCATTTGTTTTTCACTTTTTACTCATTTTTTTGTTTTTTAAAAATTCATTATCAAAAAAAAATCGAAAAAAATCAAGAAAATTTTTAAGAAAAATTTTTTTTTGAAAAGTCGAAAAAAGTTTACAAAAAAATTTTTTTTTTCGTTTTTAAGAAAATCAATGTTTTTGACAAAAACTTTGATTGATGATCGATTTACCGCCGGCATTAGCGTTACCCAAAGCATACCACGTGGAGAAACACACACACACACACACTTTAGAAAATGAGTTTGGAGTCATTAAATACTGCGGAGCTGACGAACCACGGGGTCTCATTTCTTCTAAAAATTACTTACACAACACTAACACACACACTCTTCAGAAAATGAGTTTGGAGTCACGAAATACTGCGGAGCTGACGAACCACAGGGTCTCATTTTTTCTGAAGAATCCCATATCATAAACACGTGCGTAAGCACAAAAGAAGCGTAAATCCGACCGTGCAACCTCCACGTGGTATGCTTTGGGTAACGCTAATGCCGGCGGTAAATCGATCATCAATCAAAGTTTTTGTCAAAAACTTTGATTTCCTTAAAAACGAAAAAAAAATTTTTTGTAAACTTTTTTCGACTTTTGAAAAAAAAAATTTTCTTAAAAATTTTCTTGATTTTTTTCGATTTTTTTTTTGATAATGAATTTTTAAAAAACAAAAAATTGAGTAAAAAGTGAAAAACAAATGAAATTATTTATTTTTGAATGGATTAGGTTGAGTTTAAGGGACAAAAACCTTGTTCCCTTATTTTTTCCAAAATTTCAATCAATTGGTCCGGGAAAAACCGTTGAACCAATCGCTCCAGGGATTTAGGGGGTTCTTTAAGGAACAATAGACTGTAAAATTCTCCTCAAACCTTAGCTTTCCCGCCCATATTAGCGAAGATACAGCCAAGTAACCAAAAAAGGAGAAAAAGTCACTTTTTTCCACTTTTTTCAATTCAATGTTAGAGGTGGAAAAAAATTTTTTCTTCACTAACTCTTGACTGTGCTTAATTGGAAATTTTATGCAGATAAAGAAACTCGGCGCCCGCTTGCTGTGCGACCAGTAGTTCCAGAGATATTAGCAGTTGAATGGAAAAGGATGCTTTTGCATTCAAAGTTCGATATCTCGGAGACAAATGGTCGTAATTGAGCCATCCAAAGCGATTTTTGAAGCTGAATAAACACGCTAAGAGACCTATACAATGGAGTAGCTCGAAAAAATTTTTCCATGCCCATAGAGTGAAAAACGAAACCTAGAAAATTTAGAAAAAAATTATTTTCAGCTTTGTTTAAGAATTGCATGGAAACCGGAGCTCAAAAAATTTTTTCACCAAAAAATCTGAAAACTAGAGTTTTCAAGCTTCAAAACTCTTTTTTTAAATTTCCTGTACGATCATTTTTCACTGAAATGCAGCCTGTTGAAAATCACCCAAAAATTTCAAAAATTTTTATGTTCCCTTAATTTTTGCGAGGAGTGTAGAATGGAGAATCTGTTCCTTTTTGAAATCGGTTAAAATACATCGAATTTACAAATTTTTTAGTTGAAATATTAGCAATATTGAAAAATGGTCGTGTGCTCCTAGCACAGAGTAGGCCAGCCCTTCCTTTTCCGTGGATGTCGTAAGAGGTGACTAAGGAAAGGTGGGAGACGGGTAGCAGCGTCCCTCTTAAAACATCTCTAAAGCCTATCTGCGGCTGCCAATCCGCTTGCTAAGCGTGGCAACTACTGGCAAAATCACCCAAAGGAGAGGCTCATGTTTGACAGTGGACAGTTAAGGGTTGATATTTAAATGATTAATTTATATAATAATAAATTTATGTCTTGAGATACGAGTATGTAATGTAATATAATTCTCTAACATAGATATTACTATGTTATTTTTTTATTACTAATCTATATATTTATAATCTATGGTAAGTAATGTTGCCCTTTAGACTGTTACGTTGTATGCAGTATTCAAAATGTAATACAAAATACGTGACAAAATGTAAGCAAGTCGACGTATCACATAAACCAAGTACTTACAGCTGCGAGCTTCTTAGGTACATTTTTATGTTTTATATAGATTCTCAGATGCTTAAGTAATATTAGTTTTTAGTAGAGAGATAGCTAATAGATAGTATCTCTTCTCAAGCAATATCCATAATTACAAATTCAGTTTTATTTAAATAGGTTTATACAAAAGTTGTTTAAACTTTTTTGTATATTTGTATTATTTCTTGTGTCTATTACGTGATACCCTCACTAATTATTAATTAGTTTTTATGTTTTTTTTTATCGTTTTTATTTATAGGCTTTTATCCTAAAATATGGCAACGCCATCATAACCTAACTTTAATTAGTAATTAGTAATACTAGAGGGACGCATCGATACAAAAATACAGCAATTAAAGATTCAGCGAGTATATTTAAAAAATTTTTTTATATAAATTCTGTATAAATACTCCTTTTACATATATCTCTTATATCATACTCTTTTATGTGTAATGAAGAATTTATTAGTTTTTTTTTATAACAAAAATCACATCTCTTTTCTTTAGGAGCGGAGACGGCAAACCTCTGTCAGGAGCTTAGTCGGTCGGGGTTTACAGTCCGAGGAAATAACTGGCGTATTATACAGGCAGTATCCGAAAGTGTCGTTTCCTGCATCTTTCCTGGGAGTGAACAACCTTGGAATCTCAATGGCCTGTTGTTCCAGTGGCAATGAGGTATTGTTCCAGTCTGGTTGAGATAACACCATTCACTGACAAAACGGTTGAGATTACTTCGGTTGATGTAACCCCTCACATTTCAGTCACGTCGATCGAGATATTTACTCTTCTTCTCGGATTCTGCTTTCACAAGGACATCTCCATATTCCATTAACCCAACACTACGATATCAGGTTTGTCCGCAGGAACTGTCCTGTGCGTGATGATAGATCGATCTCAGTAGAGCTTGACGCTGTCACTTTCGAGGATTGGTTGTGGCTCGTACTTATAGTACAGCAACCTCTCATTCACGACCTCCACGTGATTCCCCCTGGAAACTATCGTGGCCAATTCTAGTTGGATTCGTCAGGATGGGCTAACTGACCTGCTTTCATCCTCATTAGTCATCTATGACTGGTGCCCCGCCAGTGTATACCGATAGCGCAGACTATACTATTATAGTCATTGTATTTGGTGTCTTAATAGTTGTTCGTTTGATAGTTTTTGCACTTCAGCTGCCCGCTAATAACATGCTTTCCAATTGTATTGGGTTGACTGGAAGAGATCTTTGTCAGATATAAGTCCATCCTTACTCAAAATATTTATAAATGTATTAACAACTTAAATATATATATTGGAGTGATACTGATGTTACGCGTACTAAGTACGAGATTGTTCTTCTGTCGTCATGTAATCATCACCGACCGCGTCTAATACTTACCTAATATGATCTAACATTATCTAATATAATATAGGTACATGCTTGACATTGCACTCGAAGGATCCTTGACGATATAACTGTTAATTCAGCATCTCCGTTTATTTAATACTCGATTTACATCAAGCGGAACGAGTGGCAGCAAATCCGTGTATACCGAAGTGAATTTTACAGTGCAGTAAAGAAAATATATTGGCTGTGTGCTCCCAGTATTGAATAGGCCACCCGTTCCTTTCCAGGAGGTGTGGTAAGAGGCGAACAAGGGAGAGCTAGAAATGGGCAGCAGCGTCTCTCTTAAAAGATCTCTAAACTCCAACTGCGGTTGCCAATCCGCCTGCCAAACGTGGCAACTACTGGCAAAACCCCCTAAAGGGATATGTTCAGCAGTGAATAGTTAAATGCTGGTATGATGATGATGATGATGAAAGAATATAGCACACACTGCATTTTAAAGATCATAATTTAAAAATTAGTATTCTTACTCCTGTCGCCAAATGAATAAATTTGGAAAAATGAATATTGCAACACAAAATTATAAAATTTTAAAAATAAAAGTTCGTTTCAAAACTATATTTTGGGTATTTCATGTTAGTCGTAAACTTCGAAATTATAAAAACTTATTTCTGTATGTATGTATAAATTGGGCTCGGCGAAAATTCAGGTGTTTTGCCAAAAACAATGTGCCAAAAGATATATCTTAAAGTAAATGCAGAATATGTAAAAATATAAGATTGTAAATAATCATAAGTGTCGAGTCATTTCTGATTCATTTGTAACATTTTATTATCTGTATGGTTATTATATTAAATAACAAAGCCTAACTGCGGTTGCCAACGTGCCTGCCAAGCGTGGCAACTACTGGCTGTTCTTTTGAGGGCAAAGCAATAAACTGAATTGTGACTATTTTATGTTACTATGGTCCACGTATGAAAGGAAAAATTGTTCGCTCTTCTATATAATAATATACTTTATTACTCAGACTACAATTTGGTCCATTTTGTTGGTAACAATTTTCTTACAAACTATATTAGTAAAAAAGAAAAGCAAATTAATTAAAGCAGTTCACTCAGATGTGACCCAGCCGACTAGATCAGCATCTGAATGAAATGCCCAATTATAGGCGAGTTATATTTATCGCCTATTACTTTTAGAATGCTGTTGGTGCTTGTCCTAACCCTGTGTAGCAATGATGCAGTCCTCTTTCTCCTTATAGCGTAGTAGTCATCTACGCGAGATTGAGCAAACATGCTGGAGGCGCTACAAAAGCGAGGTAGCCCCAACAGCACTCTAAAACTATTATTGTACTGGATTCGTAGGGCACTGAGTGAGGCCTGTGTGCAGTTGACCTACAGGCTGCTCGTGTAGGATGTTCTATGCATTTTGTTTTTTTTTTTGTATACGTATTCTTTTATTTCTTTTTATTGTGCATGTCTATGTGACTGTTGTTATTTGTGTACTGTAAGTGATGCAAATAAATTATCTATCTATTTATTGTACTTGTCAAAAAAAGATACAGCAATTAGTTTAACAAATTGTTAACAAGGATGGGCTTATCTTTCAAAGACATCGCTTCCAGCCAACTCAATGCAGTAGAAATAAAATTATTAATTGAGTATGAAAAGCTAGTTATATAATTTAATATTTATATTATTAGAGGTATCACATCTCCATATTTAAAACTAACAGAATTTTTTATCGTGCCTCACACCAATTTGTTTATAATTACTCCTCTCCATCCAAAGGTTGCCTGGAAGAGATCACTTTTAGCGATATTGTTTTCTCATTGTGATTATTTCTTGTAATTGTTTATATTTATAATAAGTTTACTATTGTAATCTTTTGGAGAGAACAATAAAGAGTATCTATCTATCTATCTAGTTACATTTTGTACATACGCAGGAGTCTTCAACAGTTTCTTATAAACAGCGTTCTTAATAATCTTAACACTAGATCAAATACAAACTTGCTGTTCCGAAGTACCGTTTAGAAAATGTTAATAAGTCTTTTATGGGAATGTACATTAAATGACATAGTAAGATACCAAAGGATGTTTCGGATGTACCTTTTAATGAGTTTAAAACTGTTATTAAAAACACTTATTGAACAAATCCCATTACAAACAAAAAGATTACTAAATAAATAAATAAATAACTGTTGTACGGGATTTAGAATTTTTTTTTATTCAATGTAGTTGAATTCAGAATTGAATTCATTCAATTAGTTATTCAATATTGAATTAACTTACCGTCCTCAGGATGTTTCGACGGCTGCACAATCTGGCCATCGGCCGAGATGTAGAGTAGCAGAGCACCGTTGGGTGGCAGGTCGTTGCATCCGCTCGCCAGGTACACAAGCACTTGGCTGGGAGATGGTTTGAACAGAAGGTACTTATGTGGGTTGTCACGCCTGGGCCCATTTTCTATGTTATATCCTATAACAACGATACAATTTTCAAATAGTAATTTATTTGAATCATGGAAGGAAGGATTATTGCTATTAAGAGAGCTTTTATACTGTAAAAGTAGGAACGAAATCGCTTCAGTTGGCTTATGGTGATTAAGCATTGTGATTTTCAATAGGGTGGGGGGTGGAGGTGGGGGGTAAAGGGCCTTATTAGAAACATTTAAAACCCGCTAGTTTGCTCTGAAAATCCCTAAGGAACGATAATGTTATGCTGACCCGGAGGTATAACACAGAAATGCAACGCTTGAGGGATATCATGGGAATTATAGAGTATTCTATAAAAGTTCATGATGCTGTTCATGTTTATAGGCTGTTATCACTTTCCACCAGGTGGGTTGTTGGCTTATTTACTATCAGCCGTCCTACGGGGGTTTGTCCACATGATTCAATGTATGAAGTATCCTGTTTGCTAAGTTGGGATATAACCTATAAACATACAAACATATAAATATCTAAACATCCAAACACCTTTATTAGCAGGATTATAAGTTTTATAAAAATATGGCATTAAAAGCACCCACTGGCAAAAAGCAGGTCAATTTGTAATTACTTGATCAACACGTGGTGAATTTAAAGATGTTTGTTTTAAGATCCATCAAACAATAAATTGGTATTGTACCGATCCTAGTAATGAGGTTACCAACAATCTCTCTCTCTCTCTTAATTTCATAAGAGTTCTGGTAATATTTATTTCGGCGAAAATTTATATCTTTCCACTTGCACCACTGCTGGGCATGGTCTCTACAAGAGGTTGATATTAACTTACAATAACCACATTGGCCAGGTCCTGGTACACGGTTTCGTTTACAGTTTTCCTTTTCTTACGTTTTGTACTATCGTGTTATCGTTTCTTGTAATTTCCAGTAATTGTTTTACTACACGCTGGAAGCTTTACCACATCAATATGTATATAATGTACTTTATTTATTTATAAAGTTCTAAAGGTACACAATACACGTAACTTTGTATTATGTTTCTTACAAAATATTATGTTAGAAAATATAAACTTTATTTAATAATAGATACGTTAAAAATTGCTTCTAGGACCAACAGCACTGTTACTAAGTTTACATATATTGAACAAAATGTGATTGGTCTCTTTTCATCAGACAAGCTTAATAATGATTGAAACAGTTGCAATATGTCTAGCTTTATTAAACAATTGAAATTTGCTTTAATTTAGACTATGTAATAGATAGTTTATATTGTTAACTAGCAATATCCCGCAGCTTCACCCGTGGCCATATCGTGATGTTGAATAGCCTATGAACCTTTCTCAAGAAGTGATCTTTCAAAAAAAGGATTTTTCAAATCCGTTCCAGAGACAAACCGACGAACAAACAGATTTTTCCAATATTATTATTAAGGATTATTTTTTCACAAAAATAAATACTGGATAAATCAATTCTCATACCATGTTACTATTCAATAATATAACTGTGATCACCACTTCATCAGTAACTTGCATTTATAAACTCATTATCGAAAAGTGCAGAAACATAAAATAACAAACTTTGTACAATTTGCATAGATGTTGCATATTCCATTCGACGTGAGAGTAACATTGAAATAAAAATCATACACTTTGCACACTATAATTTACTTTAATAAACTATATATTCGCTTTAGCTTATAATTTGTCGCAGTGCCAAATCAAATCGCTTTGCTCCAGTCACTGGAATACTGAGAAGCATTTCAAGTATTAATATTACAATGAGGAATTCAAGGGCACTATTTTATACATTATATACTCGAAGAACTCTTAAGATTTGCATTTGTGTAAAATCAACAAATTTTTTTTGGCAAGTTTTTCTTGGCAAGGGTGAATAAAATCTTTACCTTTACTGGTGGGTGCGCTAGGAGTTGATATAAACCTCTGACGGGGTGAATCGTCGTACATGTGCTGTATCTCGCCAGAAGGCTCCCTCTCCAGTGTTTGCAGCATCCGGAACATGTCCATTGTCAGTTCAGAGAATTTGACCTGCTGTGAGCTGCTTCCAATGATTAGTACCTCTTGAAGAGACAATGTCATTTGCGGTGATCGTTCCACAGGCGGTGTTGTTATTGAGCTAAGTCTGTAAAAAAAATAATAAAGAGTTGTTGCTATTAGTATGGGTCTCTCATTTTGTGTCATTGTAAGTGCTAACTTATAGTATATGAGAGATGAAGGGACAAGCAAGTTTGTTTGCGTAAACAAACTTTATAAACAACAAGGTGGTAGACACAATAACTGGATTATTTCAAGGTTTTGTAATAAATGAAAAGGGAATTACTAATAGTTGAAGTGATAAACTTGAGTATTAGGGTAAGATTTCTAATAATGATGAAACATCCATGTGAGGGCGAAACTGAACAAAATTTCATATAGGAACAAAAAGTTAGTGTGTACCTATAATAAAAGAATGTGTAATGAATAATTGCTATAGAAAAATACCTGTGCGATAGAATAACGGGATAATTATCAGGATGGATGACAGTAACGACAGGCTCCGCATGTATGAAAGCTTTAACCTCATCCACCACAACGGTCCATTCAATTTGATCATCCGGATCGTACGTATTCCCATACTCGATTATTTGTCTATCTAGCTCCTTGATCAATTCTCGCACTAGCTTAATCTTTTTCAGAAGCAGGCACACTACAATGAACCTGGCGTAATATCTTAGTTTCTTCACCATCAATTCACATTTGTCTTCCTTACAGGCCTTCGTGTAGTAGCACCTCCCTCTAATAGCGTAGTAAAACGAGAAAGCCTCATTGAGGTAAGCCGTTTCACTTGTTCTGAGACTGTAAAAAGAGAACTGTGATAATATCTGTTTTGGAAAAAAAATATTACCAGAGGGAGACTTTGTTCCAGTCTGCATTCCCACTTCTGTCATGACTGTGCTTGCTCAGGTGTTGAAGAGTGGAATATAACAGTACAATTTTAAAGTACGGAACATGCATTGTTACCGAAAGCATGTTTACCATTGTAAGTAATAAAAAAAATATTCAAATTATAATAATGCTTTATAATGGAGGAGAGCAAGCAAGTTGATAACCCATTTCTAGGCATCGTGAATATTATATTGTATATATTTTTTTATACTACTGAGGAGGCAAACAAGTATATGTCCCAACTATATAGTCCCTATGGTGGTAGAGGGTTACCATAACCTACGAACTTCTGCAATACCAGAAACATTAAGCGCGCATAGCCGACCCAAAGGAAACAATCGCTGGATTGGCTATAATACCGACCATATCTCGATCGGATCAAAGGCTTTCAGTCCACAAACGCTAGATATAAAGGTAGATTGTACTTTTTGGTCTTCTGTATAAAGTGCTGTTGGGTATGTATGCGGTCTATAATACTGAAGCCCTTTCGGAAATTAGCTTGTACAAGCAGCTTGAAGTCTGGAAGGCAGTTTAGAAGAAATATCGGTCTATAGTTCTTCAATAGAATTCTTGAAAAATAAGACTATTGCACTTCTGCTCCAAACTTCAGGCATAATACTATTATACATGACCAAATTAAATAGCATCTGAAAGACTACAACTATTAGATTTTCACCCGCTTTCAGAAGCTTTACTGTAATTTGCTATTCCCTTGATGTCTTGCCGTTTTTAAGCTGTTTAAGAGCCATTTTAATCTCGTGCAATCTGACGTCCGGGACATCATCTGCACAGTGTCAGGTGATTTTAGCTCTTTGGTCGTTAATCGTCTTGGTATGCGGTGTTAACGACGATGTTTACAGTTGACCATAGAATTTCTCAATCTCACTCAAAATCTCAGATGTGGCAGAAATTATTCGTATATCACGAGTGTTGGTAAAATCTAATTTTTTTATTACATTATTCTTACAATATCTGTTTACAACTGACTTCAAAAAGAAAGAGGCTTTTAATGCGGTTGTATTTTTTCATAACTTTGTCATTTATAAAACGATTTAGAAAATTCTCTAAATATTTTTTTGTCTACAACTTTAGGATTGGTTCCATAGAAATTTCATCAAAATCGGTTTAGTAGTTTGGTTTTCTAAATCTAAAATAATTTAATAAAGGTTTTGGCACGACTGCAATTGGTGTTTTATTTTTTGTAGGAAAAATTTACTTAGCATTTTAAAAGTCTTCACTTATTTTCTGAGCAAAGTAGCTACTCGACTTCGGATTGCTAGTCACTTCTATGAGGAGTAAAGTGATGTTTTTAAGAAATATTTAGTACTAACGTCAGCTAAAAACATCGATCTAAATAGTCTTAACACTAGATACAAATTAAAATTTGCTGTTCTGGAGTATCATTTAGAAAAAATTAATAGATCTTTAATGGATCTAATGGATATTTTGGATCTATCTTTTAATGAGTTTAAAATTGTTATTTAGACACCAATAAGAGGTTAAACTAGAGGGTTTTTTTTTAATTTACTGCTGTTAGTTCGATAATAGCCCAAATAAATAATTTTGTGATGCCAAATCTTATAAGATTATACTAAATCTTAAAGGTTTCATATGTATATAGTTTCCTTTTTAAAAGTAGTTCACAAAAGAGCTCGTAAATCTCAAGTTCAAGTTGTTATTCTAAAAGTTTGTTCGGGTTAATATAGAAAACATAATTATCTTGTAAATTAGTATCTCCGGAGGGAGACTTTGTAAAAAAGTTGCCTGCTCGAGTATCTTTGCCTCATTCGTGTTTTAGCCGGGAAATAGTTGTATTTGCATGGCTGTGTTTCGGTGGAATATGGCAATAAAATTACAGGGTATACAAGCATGACACCTTTGTCCTCAGGAATAGGATAATACATGAAATGGTATCATGGGCGATACAATATACTCTGTTATGTCCATAGTAGTGTTCACGTCTATTGACGACTTTCTATCAGGTGCAGCGTCAGCTAGTTTGTCATTCTAATATGCATAAAATAGTGTATTTATTTTAGGTATATTATGTACGTAAAACTTATTTAAAAAGAAATACTTACTAGAAATGATAATACAGTTGACCAATTTTAGATGCAATCTCGCCAATCTGCCATCTCTTTAGACCGTATTTGCTGTCAAGTATAGCTCGATGTTGCTGTTGGAATTTCCACAATTTTGTGTACACATCGAACGTCCGACCGAAGTATGAATGCCATTGCTTATGACCGTACTGCGGCAGCTCCCTACGAATTAAGAATTCTATCGAAATAAAATAATAGCATGTTTCAAGCTTCTAAAGAGGCAATGCTTGGAATGCCATTCGTCATTGTTATTTCATAAACCTGTATAATGAATATATCAGGGACAATTTTCCACCGCTGAACATAGTCTTTCTCTATTGGGAGGTTTTGCCAGTAGTTGCCGTACTTAGCAAGCGGGTTGGCAACAGTATACAGTATACAGTCATACTTTAATAATGGTCATGGGAAGAGTACCAGCCTCTAAATATCATCTCTAAATATCGTACTTTGCAATAATATTCACTTTTTTTTTTCAATAAAAAATTTATATCGAGTTGTAACAAAATACTCAATGAAGTTTCTTGAGTTATCGCTTTGGAGAAGAGATTGGTCAATTCTTAACAGGTTGTGAACTTGATGCGACAGTTGTTGCCAATTCTATAGATATAGGTGTGACTGCCTAATTTAGTGGCCTGAGAATATAGTGTTTTAACTCAAGATGTGTAGGCCACATTCGCAGTGGCCCCGGCATAGAATAGGCCACCCCTTCCCTTCCCGTGAGTGTCGTAAGAATCGACTAAGGGAGGGCGAGGTATGGGCAGCAGCGTCCCTCTTAAAACATCTCTAAAGATTAACTGCAATTGCCAACCCGCTAGGGGGAGACTTATGTTCACAGGTAGACGGCTAAAAGCTGATATGATGTTTAGTGATGATAGGCCACATTATGCAAGGCTGCTCATTATATAAGTACAAGAATAATCTAGCAGACTTGTTCACCCTGGAGATTGACGCAATCCCTTAAATGAAGAAAATAATAACATTGCGAATTGTATAATAACATTAAGAAGGACTGATATACCGTACAATTAAATAAATAAATAAGAAAATCAAGATACGTCTTCATTAATTCAGGACTAAAATTGTAATTTAAAATTTTGTATGGCACATAATGTTTGGGATAGGAGTAACAATTAATTATGTTCATTAAAAGACATTTACGAGGACTAGGACATTTTAAAAAATCCGATTATTCATAATCGTAATATTGTAAGATGGTGGTATATTATTATTGTTATACACATCTCTTCTCCTTTAAATTTGAAAGACAAGATGATACCATAGGACTGCATCTACTCCTCTTAACAGCCTTAACTATAATAAACGGATATTTGATATGGTAATATCATGTTATTAATTATATTGTTATACTTATTTTACATACGAACCTCAAACCGTTGAATAGTTGTTTAGACTTCTCCAGCAAATGGCAGAACTCGATGATGACTTTTCTTTCGTGGTCCTCCAAGGGATTCATTCTCCCCATAGGTTGGTGGCTGCAATTGTTCTTGCCCTTCTTCTGTCCACGTTTTTCCTCGTAATCTTTAACAATTTGTCTTGAAAATGATTGATTTTTATTCGAAGGATAAGTTCCGCTTGTTGAAGCCTGCTCTCTGTTCAAGCCATAAAGGTTTCTATCGGAAGGATAAGATTTTAAATCAAATGAAGGATCAGGTTCAAAGAGGTCATCAAAATCTGTTGCCTCCGGTTTATAACTTAGGTATAAGCTATCACAAGAAGATGAGCGTTTGTTATCACCATGTTTTGCTTTTACGCGATATGCTGAATCTGTAGGGGAGCGGCGTCCAGAGAATGCTTTCACTAACGGTCTTCCAAAACAGCCTTCCCAAACTTCGCTGTCCAAATACGAATCTCGAAATGCTACAGTTATGTAATCTTCGTATAGACCAGAATCTATGGGTATAGATGACGCCAGGGCATGTCTATGGGGCGACTGGCGTACAGCAGGTATCCCACGTGGTGTACTATTAGAACGTTCTCGTTTGATGGAAGGACTTGGTTTAAACGCAGCTACGCTCTTAAGCGATTCAAGAGAAAGTGAACGGTGTAGTCTATGTACTCCAGGATTATCAGAAATCCGTACCTTTTTAGCAGGTGAATAAAATTCCGGTGTTAATAGCCCACTGGTTGATATATGATCCAACGACTGCTCACTTATTGTATGGTATTGCACGTGCCAAGCACTAGTTGTCTTGAAGTTAGGGTCATCTCGGGTCGACGGCTGATCTGTTTTTCTATCGACCAATCTCCTTGGATCTTTTGGTTTTGAAGGTTTGATTTCCTCTTCAGAACGTGGAGTAGGTCGAGAGTTTACAGACGAAGATCGCCTCCGATTTGAGGAATCTATAGAGTCTACAGATGTTTGTGTAGATTGTGTAGGTATAGACGAGATTCCTACTCGTTGGTTATTTAATAACTGTTTTATTTCAGCAGAATGTCTTGTTACTGGAACTTCTGCCGATTCTGGTATTCGACGGTGTCGAAATGGCGTTGCCACTGTGAAAATTTTAAAAATATTGTAGATTAAACTGAGTGATTTTTGAGAGACACGATTTTATATAAAACAATAATAATTTTATTATCTAAAGCATATAAATACAATATAGGCGATATCAACACGTATTGAAATTGCTTATATTATAGTATACATAGAAATATATTTCTAAAAATATGTCACATTCAGATAGTTGCGGCATAATTGCTCTATATCTATATTATTTTAATGGATGAAAACGAAATAGTGACTGCGATACCGATAGCCCTGCGCTATCGGTATACAATGGCGAGGCATCAGTGAGAGATAATAGGTGAGGATGGATGTAGGTCAATTAGCTTATAGTGACGATTCCAACAGGATTAATCACGATGGTTTCCAGGGATAAAGACTTAGAATTCAGCCTGATAGATTATATTGCTAAAAATAAGGTTGTTATACCGCATTACTAACAATCATATTCTCCCTTCTATACCATGTATGTTAATTATTTAATATCGTTCCATTTACTCTATTGGATTGGATATACTAACTAGATTGGATATATTATAATATGTCCAGGAATACCTATCAATTTATTTATATAGTGATTTTTTATGTGGGTGATTTTCAGCAAGTACAATTTTTGTCTAATTTCGGTGAATATTTTTAGTTTCGGGTCATTAGAAAAGTTGATATCCCGAGGAATTATTTTATAAAATGATCCTCACTACACGTATATGTCGTCGACATTAGCTTTTCTGGGGACTCGAAGTTTAAAGCACGGTTGAAAATCCCACTGACGTTGGATAGGGATTGGACTTGCTGGAAATCACCTATGCGGTGAAAATGGAATTATGACCCCGTCTAATATACACTGACGGGGTATTAGTCAATGAGAATAAAGTCAGGTCAATTGGTAATCATCATAACGAATACACTAGTTTACAGGGAGGATCGCTAGCAACAGGGCCACTATTTTCCGGTACCAAGAATCTTGCTGCCCATAACATCGCCAGTTCACTAAGATAAAATTGTGGGCATAAGACTAAATATTAGAATAATACAATAAATACGACGAGACTTTGTACAAAAGTAGATTGCTTGAGTACCTCTGTCACATTCGTGTTTCAACCGTGAAGCAGTTGTGTTTGCATGGCTGTGTTTCGATTTGAAGGGTGGAATATGGTGTAAGTTTACTGGGTACAGAAGAATAACATCTGAGTCCTCAGGAATGACAACGCATGGTGAAATCATGGGCGAAACAGTATACTCTGTTATATCCATGCTACTACTCATGTCCATAGGCGACAGATATCACTTTCCATCAGGTGGGCCATCAGCTTGTTTGCCATTCTAAGTTGTACAAAAAAAAGAGTATTCGTGGAAGGAACGCGGGAATGGAAGACAAAGAATGGTGTAAGTAAATTCACACGGGAACGAGGACAATCTGTAAATTCACTCAAATATATTGTTTCCTAATTAAAGGACATGTACTCATTTATTCATTCTCACCCCACATTTCTAATTTCATATATTAACTTGTATTCTCTTACCTATACAAATCAAGATAAAATAGATGTCCTTGAGTTTGGAAGCCTGGTGATCTGTAAGACAGGTTATCCTAGAACCGACACCAGTCTCTCACAAAGATTGTTTTAAATTGTAACTTATATAACTGTAACTTATATAGCTGTAAATTTTATTACGTTGTGAGAGAAATAAATATTTATTTACATTTATATTTACCCCGAAGTTATATTAATTATTATTAATTAATTAATATAACTTCTACTTAATTATACTTCTATCAAGAAGTATAATTAATTAGAAGTATATATTCGAAGTTGCAAATATAAATGTAACAGTAATAGGTAGAAGTTATATTTTATTATGTCAACATGATACAGGAATGAATTTTTACTACACATATAAGCTGCCGTGTGGTCCCGGTATAAAATGGGCAACTCCTTTTATTCCCTTGGGTGACGTAAAAGGTGACTAAGTCAGGGCGAGGGATTTGCAGCAGCGTCCCTCTTAAAACATCGCTAAAGCCTAACTGGGGTTGCCAATCTGCTTGCTAAACGTGACAATTAGTGGCAAAACTTCCCAAGGGGAGGCTTATTTTCAGCAGTTCAGTTCAGTGGCTCCGGTATAGAATAGGTCACCCCTTCCTTTCTCGTGGGTGTCGTAAAAGGCGACTACGGAAAATCAACGATGGATGGACAGCACCGTCCCTTTTAAAACTTCAACAAAGTCTAATTGCAATTACCAACCCGCCTGGCAAGCATGGCAACTACTAGCAAAACTCCTCCTTATGGGAAAGGCTGTTATGATAATGATGGTATAAATTAATCAAATGCCACAAAAGTGATGTAGGTTAAGTGACACACTGTTGTTAACAGAGGGCGTTATTCCTATACGTGGAAAGAAAGAATTACATTTCATTCTTAGATTAATGATAATTCGAGTCAAAGGCTAGTAAATGATGTTTAATAAAATATATTTTAGAGTTCTATGTAATTGTTTAATTTTGTTTATTCAAACCACGTATTCAAAAACAATAAAAATTTTAAGACTACGAAGAAAATATGTGATTCAGTAAACTGCAAGAATTCATAATTTAATATTGCTCTCCTTAAAAAAAAAAAAAGCTATTTTTGTAACTGTGACAAGGCCGTTTGTGTGATAAAGTGACAAAATTTAAACTGGATCAACAAGGGAATTGCAAAGAGAATTTCATATAAATATAAATTATGTATTACCTAACACACACATGTAACGAGTACTTATACATGTATGTTAGCCGATAGTGTTGCCAATTTTGAATTAATTTCTCTGCAAAATAAGAAGCGACTTCACTTGTGAACGAAAACGAATTGAATAGAACACAAAAAAGAAAGAACTGTTTCCGAGATATCTTACATTGTAAAAATTGTGTGTTTACATACAGATTTAATTAAATAAAAAAAAATATATATCAACAAGAAATTTGTAAATCACAAAGAAAAATCTACATAATCGTATAATAAATTTGTTGTATTGTGAATTAAAACTACCAATAATTAACAAGTTTGTGATTTGGTCTTACAAAAACCAATCTTTGTGCAGTAGAAACTGTCGCATGACGTCAAACGTATTAAATTCCTGGCGATGGGATTCTATCAATTTGTATTGCACGTTCGTGGTACTTGGTGGACAACCCAATCTTCAAAGGCGAAGGTCAAGGCTCTGGTAAAGAAGCAGGAAGATGTATCACGCGCTCCGCCGCTCTCCCACGGGAGTATCCAACGATCCGACTTTATGAAAGTGCTGATTGAATTTTTCGGTTACACAATATCTTTTGTGTGATAGTTTACATAAAATCGGGTCACCGATATGTGATCAACGACCGAGTTGACACACAGGTAACTTCAATGGTTAAATAATTGAATCCGTATTGGTCCCATACGGAAGTGAACCCTGTCGACTGCAAATAAAACCGCTCAGGTGTGAGTTGAGCTCACACACATAGAGTTCCATACGTAAATATAAGACAAAATAACCATCATAGTATTTCTTATATGAAACAGGGACCAAATACATAGTTATTGTTATTGATACTGCAATTCTTCATACTTTATTTTGTTTTTACATAAAAACTGGAGCGCATAAGCAAGTTTGTTTTTGGAATGATTTTGTTAATTCATACAAGTTAGAAACTGCTTCTGTTTTTAGAAGTTTATTAAAGATATCAGTGTACCGGAGTTTTCTGCTTGCCACTTTTACAGCAGAGCTCTTTTAGTTCAATATTTGTTTCATCGTAATGTCGTGACATTAAAATTTTCAGACAAGATTTGTTGGAGAGTTCTAGTCAGAAGAATTTAAGGCCTCAACCTTTGAATTTAGATTTTGTTCATATTTTCCTGCACAATTGCTGATTCATCCTCATCATTCCAGCTGTCAACTGTCCACTATTCAACACAATGGCAAACAAGCTGACGGCCCACCTGATGGAAAGTGGTAACCGTCGCCTATAGACATGAGCAGTACCATGGACATAACAGAGTATATTGATTCGCCCATGATACCTCCCATGCGTTGCCATTCCTGAGGACTCAGGTGTTATTCCTCTGTACCCTGTAAATTCACGCCATATCCCACCCTTCAAACCGAAACACAGCCATGCAAACACAACTGCTTCATGGTTGAAACACGAATGGGACGGAGGTACCCAAGCAAACGACTTTTGTACAAAGTCTCCGTCTGGTAAATCGTAATCAAAAATAGTAATAAAGTATTCAAGCGAAATTGGAAAGATAGTATGATTTTAATCTTTTCTTGAAGGAATTGATTAGACCAACTATTCTGAACATCCATTGGAAATTTATTAAACGCCTAGGTCTAGAAGGAGGAGTCAACTATTAGAACTGGGAACGAAGATGAGTAGGAGAATTGGGATTATTAAGAGCATTGTAAAGGACAGCCAGGATATGTGTCTCATGAAGATGTCGGATTGGGAGCCACTTTAAACGAGCGCGGTATTCCGAGATATGATCATCTCTTCGTAAGCTGAAAATAAACTTTATTTCTAAATTTTGTAACAATTATTAAAATGTTCAGTCAATATTTTTTTGGGAAAGGGTAATCATAACCTTATTTAAGTTGGGGGGAAAGGGATTGTTAGTAATGGAGTCTGAGAAACCCATTGCTAGCAATATACCCAACCAGGTCGACCTCCTCGCGGTTCCCCCTGGAAACTATCATGGTTAATTCCTGATGAATTCATCATGATGGGCTAACTGGCCTGTTTTCATTCTCATCTATGACCCTTCACTGGTACTCCGCCAGCGGGATACGTTAGCGCAGGCGGGGTTACTATACCATTTTAACCCATCAAAAAAAACCTTATTTAAGTAATTTAGGAAAATATTTGTGCTTTTTGTTAACAATATTATAATAAAACAATGAAAACATGCATGCAGGGAGTCAGTGGAGTCATAGATTGGATCGCCCCTTCCATTCCCGTGGGTGTCGTAAAAGG